AATTTCAAATTAGGTAAACTCACTTGCATTAGAATCATATTAAGACCTAGTATTTATTAAAAATATTAGGATTCTATAAACTCACCTAAATTAGAAAATCAATTTTTTGGTCAACCCCAACCTATAGTCTAGTATCCGGGACTTTCTAAAATTGACTAATACAATTTGAACTTAAAAAATAACTATCCTAAGCTTTTAAAACTGATCAATCAACTAAATTAATTAAAATGGATTCTAATCCATTAATATTTTAATTTTAATTAAAATATCCCCTTTTGGCCTATAACAAATTTGAATTTTAGGTAACTTTAACCAACTACCTAACTTAGGTCATATCCAAGCCACATCAGTCTTACACACACATAGAATGGTTTGCTAGGACATCACTTCTAGACCTAGGCTAGACCGCTGGGTTTTATTTTTCTGCTGTGTGCTGGAGCTTTCCGTGGTTTTCACTACATGTTGTTTGAAAATTGATTGGTATGTTTGCTTACTTTTCTGCACTCTGGATGTGAGCGTTAGACTTACCCTTAGGTTAGGAATGTTATATATATATATATATATATATATATACTGTTCTTCCGTGCAGGTGGCCATGCTCAAGCTAATAAAAAGGGGGGCATCATTATAATTTCTAATATTGTCTTATGCAGGTGCTTGCTCAGCCCCCCTAAATAAATAAGGGCTGCAATAATTATAACTGCTACAGGTGGAGCTGCTTAGCCCTCATAATTAAGAGCATGACTTGGCACAGGGTCAATGGTTTGAGTTATTTTCATTTTCATATATAACTGCTTGTGATCTTTATTAGGATAACCATGCAGGGAGTCTAAAATTTATTTTTTTAATAGATATAATATTTGTAATAAATAGTTAAGAGTTGTGAAAATGCACTCTGAGTGGGATATTCTTATCCAGCTCGAATTTCAAAAGAAGAAGGCATCCCTAAAGGGGAGAGTCTTCTTCCATTTGGAAAATTGAGTTGGATGGCTTTAGATATCCAAAGAGAAAAGGCAATGCCCCCCTACCTAGGGGAAATTGTCTCTTCATTTGGATATTCAAGCCACGACGGATCCAAAGAGTCTAAGGAGAAGATTTCCAAGGAGTCCAAGGAGGAGAAATCCAAGGAGTCCAAGGAGAGATGACCCAAAGAAGACTGAAGACTGGAAGACCAATATCCCACTCAAAATCATTTGCGTCTGTCATAAGCTTAGAAATCTGGATTGTTGGCAGTGGTGCCCGGCCACTTTACTTTCTGCATACCCTGTGTTGTAATTAAAGGAAAGTTGGCCTATGGACATTTACTTGATTGATTTGATTTATATTGATGTGTTTACCTAATTGCGCAGTAGAAATACCTGTTTTTGCTAGGTTTTCTTCTTGTATGCCGCTTTTGTTTTCGCTTGGATTTCGTTAGGCTCTTTAAAGACTATAAAAATTCTTCTACTCATAACTAATCTTTAAAATTCTAAGTTTAAATAACATAGAAATTTAACGAATCTAAGGAATTACCGGAATCGTCCGGGGTCACATGTATATTACTGCATCCCTCTTTCCTTGTTATAAGACATCTCCCTATCTGTGGGTAGAGTCCGAATAATCTGGCCTATGAGGATGAAGTGTCGGATCTAGGGAGACTCAGTCTTTTCTAAAAAAATCTATTTTATATAAGCCTATTTTTAAAATTCTATAGCATTCATGAGCTGACATTTCAACTAGCATGCATTACATTAGTAACCAACTAATTAAAATTTAATTGCATTATCTAGGAGCATCTAACCCACATAAGTCCAGGACCACTTAGAAAATTTTCTAGATGTCGGTCCTATTTCCAACAAACTGTACCTCCCACCCATCTTTCATAATTGACTTGATAGCATGGTTTTGAATCGATTAGGTGGTTAGCTGGCTCCCCCAATCCAGGCCGGGGTAAATCCAGGTTTTGCACTACATTAGCTAGGACACGGGCCTTAGTGTTGTGTAGAACACTAAGCCCAACCTAGATTTGGGATTCGAGGCTACTACATTCGGTCTCGTAGTATGCCTTAAATAGTAGGTAGGTCCCTTCCTTTCAGGGACTATAAATCCTACTTATCCACGTCACAGGATGACGCCACCTCCATCCTTCTCTCATGTATGTGATAGGATGCCTGGCTTTTCTTTTATCCAGTTTATGTTCAGTACCCTAGAGCCTCCGAATGCTGGTATGAACCATGCATGTTGATTCAGCTCCTTTGGACCTTTCTTCCCTTTGAGTAGGACTTCCTAGTTTATACCCTGTACCGATCCCAAATTTGGAAAGGATAATGTATGATCCTTAATCGAGAGTTTTCTTGGGCTCCGGTCTGGGATGTAATTAACCACGGGGGCTTGCGCCCGTGGGAAACTTGGTCCCACAATCTACTAAACCCCATTCGAACTGTTGTATCAGGTGGGGGAAACTCGTAACTAGGTCGTGTATATTATTACCCATCGAGGTGTGTTGGTGAAAGCCTCTATCCTCAATGGTTAGTCGTATGCACGATCCAATCTGCCCTTCCAATCGACCCGTTCGCGCGGTGCTCTTTCAGAGGTCCATAGAACTCCTTGTGTTTTTCTATGTCACATAGGTGACGATGATCATATGTGGAATACTATTGACTCTGATTTTTAGAAAATCCTCACTAGATACCTGTGAAGAATTACATAAAGTATATAAAATTGAAAAAAATATATATATAATGTTATTGACCTTTATCCCTCTTATTAATACTATTATTATAATTAATTTTGTCAAGTGATCCTCTATGAAAATGTTAATGGTTGTTGATATACTTATGTAATACTTAGAATTAATTCATTTTTTTCTTACTTAGGAGATTTTTTAGTGTTTCACCTTATCAATGATTATTTGTGTGATTTTTCGTATAGGTTTTCTTTTGAGTATAATATTTTTAAAAATTTTAAAATTGTCTGAAGTTAATGTCCATTTACAATTAATCTTTATCACCAATGTGACATAGAAAAACTAAAGTATATTTGTTCTCTTAAAAGCTAAAGCATCACCTGTTTCATGAAGCCAAGGAACCACAATCAGATCTTATCAAAAGGCATAATGCAAAGGCAATGATGACGAAGGATTTTTCATTGTTCTTTAATATTATTTTTCATCTATGAGCAATATATAGAGATAATTATGCCTCCTTCAAACAAGAAATACATTGAAATCACAGTTATATCCTTCCTTAAACATCTCAATTTTATAGAAATCTATCAATATTTTCTAAATTAATAGAAAATATATAGATCAATCTTTCAAAGTTATAACCTTCCTAAAAACATCTAAATTTTATAGAAATAAATCAATTTTTTTTTATATTTAGATTCATCTTTTGCAGTTATATCCTTTGTAAAATATCTCAATTATAGCTATAGCCATCAATTTTCCTAAATTAATATCGATAATTTATATCCTTTCTAAAACTTCTCAATTTTACTGTCATCAATTTTCCTAAATACTTAAGAAAATTTTTAGCAATATTGTCTTACTATTTTAACAAATTGTATATATATTATGTATTTGTGTGATAATTTAATATTTAAATTCTATATTTTTTTCATACATAACCCTATTCATATTTCATTGTGAATAAAAAATTCATATTCATAATCAACCTTTAATTTTTTGAACTCGTGAATAAGCTCGATAAAAGAAATTAATATTTGATTTAGAATTAATAAATATAAAAAAATATAAAAAAAATTTATATTTATTATAATATAATGATTTAATTATTATTAAATAATAAAATTTAAAATAAATGTGTTTTTCATAGATATGTTTATGAACGTGTTTGTTTGATAGTTTAAAAAATTCGTTAAATATGTTTGCGAACATGCTCGATGTAATCGTTTGTTAGGAAGCTCAATAAAGCTCGTTTGTTAAGTTAATGAACATCTAAAAGTAGAGCTCATTTATAGCTCGTTCATGCGTGTTTATTTAAAGCTTGATAAGCACTAAACGAACTGATCATGAACCGAATTAAACACTTATTAATTTAAATGAACCAAACATGAACACAAACAATAAAGCTCGAACAAACATGAATCAAACTTGAACAAGCTAATATTAAATGAACACAAACATGAACACTCACATACTCCGCTCAGCTCGGTTCGTTTGCAGCCCTAATAATATGTGTTAACACCAACATCTTTGCCCTCAACTTTTCAGTTACTTGTCTCCTCAACTACGACAAAAATGATCAAGCATATCACCAACGATTACTTGATGATATTTCCAATCACTAAAAAAAAATAGCTATTGCCAACAAAAAATTTCATTGATAACATAAAAAAAAAATGGTAAATAGATCACTAACAATTTTTAAGGAAAAAAAAAAAATTGTCACTGACATCCAATGTAATTCCATCATAAATTGCGATAGAATTTCAGCTAATAAATTATAGATATATAATTTTGTTCATAAAATTCTATCAGAAAATTGCTGGAAGAATTATGAACGAATTTTCTGAGAATAAATTCTATTGATTAATTATATGTCAATAATTACTGATGGAAAAAATTTCAAAATTATTCGATATATAGACATTATAATGAAAAATCTGTTGATTATCTGCGGTAACCACTAGCAATTGAGATATCAAAAAACTATTAAAATATAGAGAATCTTCATTGATCAATTAGCAAAGCAAACATAAGATTCTCAAGGTTTAAGTGAGTTTAATTTTTTTTTTTCAAGCTTTAATGGGCCTTTTTTTTTTTAGGATACAAGCAAATCCAAGAAGGGACCAAGTCAAAATTACAATTCGACAAACATAAAAAAAGAGACATCAAACATAGAAGGAAGCAAAAGCCAATTGGGCTCAATCATTGGCAAGAAGCTTTCTGCAAACACCGATAAGCTAGACAAGGATTATTCAGAGGAGGAATGAAGCAACAACCACCAATCAGATCAAGAGGAACCACCAGCAATGGTTGCCAACAAGCCACAACCAACCAGGAGGTTCACCACATCATTGCTCGAACCACGAAGAAAAAACAACAACCGCAAAGGCAAGCCCCCAACATCACCAAACAAAACAACCCCCAAAACGGTCCAACCAGTAGAAAAGGAGCCCATCCACCACAAACTAAAGAAAAAAACCATTCCCAGCCAAGCATATCCCAATAGAAGAAAGACGACCCTATCCAAAAGGAAAAATCATTTCTTCACAGATTTTTGTCGATCACGCTTAGCTCACTTTTTAAAAACACCATTCTCAGCAAATTGAATAATACTTAATTCAAAATTATCTCACGAACCCAAATATTTCTCAATAATTTCCTCCCCACCATCTAAAGAATTGCCATTATCTAACCGATCATCATGCATCACCTCATAATCCCTTGATTTACTAACAAGATGAGCAAACAAAGTATCACTAGACATAACGAATATAGGAACCTCAATAAGAGGCATAATAGCTTTAGCCATAGGAACAAGACCATTAAAAGAGGAAGTGTTAAAACAAGCGGGAGTATCCAAAGCATTACCAACCTCACCATTATCAACATGCACAAGCTCAACCATAGGTGTAACAACCACACGATCCCCTGGCTCGTACGTTTCTCCAATTGAAACCGCAACCAAACGAGCTCTGGATTGGACGGATTTGCTCTTGGGATGATTATTGACCTCGGTTGGCCGGAATCTCGCCAGCGAGGTTTCACCGTCGGGCTTTGGTCGGGAAAGGTGAAGGGAGAGGCTCAGAGCCTGAGTGCAGGAGTTCTCAGGCTTTGGAGGCTTTGAGAGAGAAAGGGCAAGCAGAAGTCCCTCATTTGACCCAAATTCTCTCTATTTAAATGTCTAAGCTATAGATCAATGGTCTAGATCTAATCTAGGTTGAATTATGAGGGAATTTAGAGGGAAATAGTCTTGGTTTTGAATTAGAGCCATTAAGGAGGCATTAAGTGCATTAAAGGGGCCGGGCTCTTAATGGGCTCAAATGGCTCAATTTGACCCATTTAAGACTTGGGTTGACCACATCAATGATTGACCTAGTCAACCTAGTCAAATAAGTCAAAGAGGATGTGGGTTTGAGCCAAGCCGAGGTTTAAATTGATTAGGATTGGAATTATGACTCAAAAGGACCAAATAGGTCAACCTAGGTTGACCTGGTCAACCAGGTTAACCCAAGGCCTGGGCTTGGGCTTAACAGACTAAGTTCGACTCACTGAATTGATTGAGAGTTGTCTTGGGCTCTGGCTTGGTCAATTTGACCAAGTCAACCTTCCAGACCTAAGGATTTGACAAAATCGAGGTCAACACTTGGAAGGTTTAATGTATTAATTGAATTACCAAATGTTCATCAAATATGGCATGCTTGTAGTCAAATTGAGTGGTTCGATGAGACAAATCCAACGAGCCCAATAACGCTTAATTAAGTCATATAAATACTCGATAAATAATCTATGATCACGAGATCACACTCAATTATCCAATTGTACACTCCCAACATTCCCTTAATATTGTCCATATTTATAAGTAATGTCACTCCAAAAAACTATAATCACATGGGGGGGAGGTTGGAGAAAGAAAAGTCTCTAGCTAGCACCACCAACTGTTGTTGGATTTCTTCCCAACCACCAATTATCGTCGCATTTCTTTTTCCAACCACTGACCATCGCCGGATTACTTTTTCCAACCACTAAACGTCGTCGGATTTCTTCTTGGCCGTCGACCATCACAAAAGTTTCATTGGTGCTAATGTGCTCAAATGATACTCTTTGTTTCTGAACTTCCTCTTTAACGGCAAAGTATTTTAATTCCATATGTTTAGCACCCTTTGAATACTTGTCGTTTTTAGAAAAGAAGACTGCTGCGGAATTATCACAATAAATTTTCAACGGCTTAACAATACTGTCAACAACTCCAAGTCCTGAAATAAAATTCTGCAGCCATAATCCTTGAATTGTGGCCTCAAAACATGCCACAAATTCAGCTTCTATTGTGGATGCAGCAATGACGGACAGCTTCGCACTCTTCCAAGATATTGCTCCTCCACTTAAGAGAAACACATATCCAAATGTGGATTTTCTAGAATCCAAACATCCAACAAAATTCGAATCTAAATATCCAATCACCTCAAGGTGACCAGATCTTCTAAAAGTAAGCATGTATTCCTTTGTTCCTTGTAGATATCGTAAAACTTTCTTTGCAGCTTTCCAATGATCAAGCCCTGGATTACTTTGATATCTACCTAACATTCCAACAGCAAAACTTATATCTGGTCTAGTACAAGTCTGAGCATACATTAAACTTCCAACAATAGATGCATAAGAAATTTGTTCCATTTCTTTATGTTCCAATTCATTCTTTGGGCATTGCATAAGGCTCAATTTATCTCCTTTCTGAATTGGAACAATGCTTGCTGAACAATTTTCCATCTTAAATCTCTCAAGAACTTTATTAATATATGCTTTCTAAGACAATCCTAATATTCCTTTTGATCTATCACGGAATATTTCAATTCCTATCACATAGGATGCCTCACCCATATCTTTCATTTCAAAGTTATTTGAGAGAAATTTCTTAGTTTCATATAAAAAATAAAGATCATTAGTAGCAAGCAAAATATCATCACATACAAAATCAAAATTATAAACTTACTATCACTGATCTTTAGATATATACACCGATCAACAGTAATTTCTTTAAATTCAAAAGAAGTGATGGTATTATTAAACTTGATATACCATTATCGAGAAGCTTGTTTAAGTATGTATATTGATTTCTTAAGTTTACACACCATGTGTTCCTTTCCTTCAACTAAAAACCCTTCAGGCTGATCCATATAAACTTCTTCCTCTAAATCCCCGTTAAGAAAGACTGTTTTCACATCCATTTGATGTAACTCTAAGTCATAATAAGCTACTATCGCCATAATAATTCTTAATGAGTCCTTCTTAGAAACTGGAGCGAAGGTCTCTTTGTAGTCAACATCATCTTTCTGAGTAAAACCTTTGGCAATAAGTCTAGCCTTATATCGTTCAATATTACCTTTTGAGTCGCGTTCGGTCTTAAAGACCCACTTACACCCAACTCTTTTGGAACCTTTAGGCAATTCAACGATGTCCCAAACTTTATTATGATCTATTGATTTTAACTCTTCTTTCATGGCATCTAATCACTTATTATAATTATACTTTCTATGGCTTGTGAAAATGAAGCTGGATCATCATCAATTCCTAAGTCAAAATCTGACTCTTGAAAATAAACCATATAATTATTCAAAATAACATATCTTTTAACTCTAGTAGATCTTCTTAATGCTATTTCTTGTGGTTCATCAATTATAGGTTCATTGGTGACAATTTCATTTTGGGATGTATAATCATTCATTTGCTCATCCTGTATATTGTCAAACTTTTCAACAATAGGAATAACAACTTTATTAGAAGTGATGGGCAAAGAAATTTTCACCCCAACTTCTTTAACCTCTACATTACGAGGTTCTATACTCCCACTACTTTCATCATTTTCAATGAACCTAGCATTTTCAGTTTTAACAATTTTCATACTATGATTAGGACAATAAAATCTATACCCTTTAGATTTTTCTAGATAACCAATGAAAAAACCACTGGTTGTTCTTGAATCCAGTTTTCTTTCATGTGGATTATAAATTTTTATTTCCGCTGGGCAACCCCAAACATGCAGGTGCTTTAAACTAGGTTTTCTTCCTGTCCACAGTTCAAAAGGGGTCTTTGAAACTGCCTTACTAGGAACCCTGTTTAACAAATACATAGCGGTTTTTAAAGCATGCATCCACAAAGATAAGGGTAAAGAAGAATAACTTAACATACATCTAACCATATCCATTAAAGTACGATTGCGTCTTTCTGCAACACCATTTTGTTGTGGTGTGCCAGGCATTGTGTATTGAGCACAAATGCCACGCCTTTCAAGAAATTTAGCAAATGGACCAGGATATTATCCAGATTCATCAAACCTTTCATAAAATTCACCACCTCTATCAGACCTTATGATTTTCACTTTTCTATCTAATTGCCTCTCAACCTCATTAATAAACACCTCAAGGACGTCTACTGATTGAGATTTTTCATGCAATAAATAGATATAACCATAACGTGAAAAATCATCAATAAAGGTAATAAAATATTTTTGACCACTAAATGAAGGCACATCAAAAGGTCCACATATATCAGTGTGTATGATTTCAAGAAGCTGTGTGCTTCTTGTGGCTGCTTTCTTAATTGTGTGTTTAGTAAATTTTCCTTTAATACAATCCACACAAATACCAAGATCAGTGAAATCCAAATCAGGAAGGATTTCATTTCTCACTAATCTTTGTATTCTTTCTTTGGATATATGACCCAAACGTTTATGCCACAAGTAAGCAGAATTTTCATTCATTAAACCACTTTTTGTTCCAATATTATGATGCAAGGTTAATAAAGTCTCAGCAAATAAATTATCAAGTTTTAATTTATATAAACCATCACAAAGCATACCAGAACCAATAAGTTGATTACACTTAAATAAACTGAAACATCCACTTCCAAACTTAAAACAAAAACCAGCTGTATCAAGTTTCGATAAAGAAACTAAATTTCTAGAAACAGAAGGTACATAAAGAGTTTGAAAAAGATCTAAATGATGTCCAGTATCTAAAATCAAACGATATGTTCCAATGGCTTCAACTTGAGCTTTGACTCTATTTCCCATGAAGACAAACTTTTCATTTGGCTTTATGGTTTGGGTCGTAAGAAATCCCTGCATCACATTTGAAACATGAGTGGTGCAACCAGAATCAATCCACCAAGTATTATAAGGAACCTCAGCCAAATTTGATTCGAAACATACAAAAGCACTAGGCTTACCTTTCTTTTCAAACCAAGCTTTACGTTTCAGGCAATCTTTCTAATAGTGTCCACGCTTGTGACAGAAATGACATCTATCATTCTTTGGTTCCTTCTTTTGGATTTGGACAGATGACACATTAAGCTTTAGGTGTCCTTTATTGTCCTTTGGATTTTTCTTTCCTGATTTTCTTTTAAAATCTGGTTGACCTATGAGATTAATTGAGTGAATTCCTTGTTTCTTAAGCCTTGATTCCTCCTGAATAAGCATACTTTGTAATTCGGTCACATTCCATTTATCTTTAATAGTATTATAATTAATTTGGAATGGACCATATTCAGGCGGCAATAAATTTATAATAAACTGTACAAGAAAGTTTTCACTCACTTTCATTCCCATAGTATTCAATCTTGCTGCTATATTAGTCATTTCAGTAATGTGCTCATAAATAGTACGAGAACCATCAAATTTCATGGTGGTTAACATAACCATTAACGTTCCAGCACGTGACTTATCAGCAGACTCAGATTGAGAAACATTCTCCACAGACTTCATAAATTCTTTAGCATTATCTGTTATTGGAAGTGTTGGCTTAATAATGTCTGCTACAGTCATCCGCATAAACATTAGGCTTAATCTATTTGATCTTTCCCAAGCTTCATGAAAAGATCTTTCTTCAGCACTGCTTGTATCAATAAGAGCAGTAGGCTTATCATTAAGTAGTGCAAAATCCAGATCCAAAACACCTAAATGAAACTGGATTTGTTCACTCCATTCAGAATAATTAAGCCCATTGAACTTTATAATAGATGAAGCTTGCGAATGAAGAATTACAGAATTAGATGCTGCAAAATAAAATACAAGACTCTCACATATCGATGATTTGAAAATTAAATTTAAAACATAAAATAGATTCAGATAACATTTCATTAATCAATAAAATGTATATTGAAGTTCTCCTTTGGGTGATACTACAATATACAATGATAATCATAATTGATGCTTAAAATAAAATTCTCATAATTGATAATTATACATATTCCAATTAAATATATTTGTTATCTTTGGATATACTAAATATATTTAATTAAGTATGATAATTTATCATATTTATATCCAATAGTACAAAATGACTAATCAACCTTTGGACGATTCTTAAATATTTTGTAGCAGGAATGTTAATTACTCGTGATAAAAATTTTATATAACATTATGTCATTCTGTTAATAGCATCGCATACTCATGAGTAATTAAATATTATCTAATTGATATTTATGAAAACTTTCTAGTTTGATCACTTTGTTGATTAACAAACTATGTTTGATACAAATATCAAATTAAATAATTATGATGATTATTATTTCAAATAAATGAAATACATAAGGAAAATACTTAATGTATATAATTACATATACAAACAAAATCTCTTTAAATGCAAAAAAATGGATTTATGTCATTAACTTTCATATGACAAATCCATTCATAATAAAATAATATAAATTATTTCCAAAAGCAAAATAGAAACATAATTAATTTGCCATGAATTAATCGAGACAAAATATGATTCAATAATTGAAATCGATAACAAATAATATGAATTCGATTTCATTAGAAATAATCATCGAAGAAATTAAAGAAAAACTTAAATGGAAAATCACTAGTTTTCAACCATGCTCTGATACCACATGTAAGACTTAATGGAGTTCTCTAACTCTTGCAAGAACTTGCATCATAATTTATGTAAAAGAAATTGAAACAAAAATGAAACTTGAATTTACATAAGACTTAAATCCTCAAGATCTTAAAACAAGATGATTTTTACAATCTTTAATCGGAAGAAAAACATACCTTGATTCATTTTGAATTCATCGAATTTTGAACTACGGTTTCTCTCCCTTCTCCCTTCACTTTCTTCTATCATGAGTTAATCATCTATGGAGTAAGATAACTCCTCCTTATGAGAGAGAGAGAAGACCAATAATTATTTCCTACGGATTTTTCATAATAATCCCTCATGAGAGTTATTTTACAATAACTCATAAAATAAGTCATAGGAGTTATTTTATAATAACTCAAACGAGTTATTTTATAATAACCGCTCATATGAGTTATTTGATCAAATGGTCCATAAACGAATGATCAAATTATCTTTTCTTGACCAATAAGATTTAAACATAAATAATTAAATTGTAATAATTCAAATATATGGGCCACATAATGATTTATATAATTAAATATATATTCTTAAATAATTATTGCGACGTCTCGCATAATTAATATATTTAATTATTCTAACAGTTCAATCATTTGTTATGTGTGAAATCTAATTGTGCTAATCGGGTTATTTTATCGCCTCGAACTCGACAATTTTCTTTCTCTTTTTTTTTAAGGTTGCGTCCCTTGGGATTATTTACTTGACTTTCTCTTATATTTCTATATTGTTAGATATAGAGAATGTGCATGTGAGAAGAGAAGAAAGGAGAGAACGGGAGAGGAGAGAACGATAGAGGAGAGATCTATATTTATTTCTTCTAATTTTCAAAGTGGATTTCTTGGTGTGATGTGGCTCTATGATTTTTTCCCTATTTTGAAAAAAAAAATATTTTAGATTTTTTCCCTATTTCATGGTGTCATTTACTTTTCGTTTGCTTATGCGTTCTTGTTGCTTTATTATTGTGGTGTTTACTCCTCATCCCCAACACCATTTTAGCTGGGCTAACCTCATGATTTTTTTCTTTTTAGGATTTTTCACATAAAATTTTTTGTTTTTCTCTATTGACAGTTGTACGTTAAATTTTCGTCCATTGCTAAGACAAATAATCTCTCTAATATATCGCCGTGAATTCTAAGTTCGCAGCAATTACGAAAGAGCCCGTACATAATAGTAAAAAATACCTCTAATAATAAAATAACTATTTTACTTCACTGGGGACTTATCCTTTCTTGAAAACATTTAAATATAATAAGGTTGATAAAAAAATATACTAGGTTATTTGAAACCCATACATTTATTCAATGAATATAAATAAAAATAATATGCATGCTAACAACCAATTTATCAGGAAAAATAAATATATGATAGAAAATTCATAGGAAAATGAGTTTTTGACAAAATTTCAATAGAAAATCAATATAATTTTTAATAAAAATTTCTTAAAATTCCATCTGTATAGCTTTATACCAACAAAAATTTCAAAGGATGTACTAACAAATTGTTAGTCCATACCTTCTTATTTCGACGATTTTTTTTCCATCCAAATAGTGATGAATATTCTGTCATTTATTCATAGAAATACTGACAGAATAGCAATCAATTATATTACTAACTAATGTTTTATTTTGATAAATCAACCAAAATTCTAATTTCCAATGAATTTTACGTTTTTACAAACAGAAAATCCGATAATTATAGATTTTTTTTTGTAGTGCCTCTTTGCCATCTCCCTTAAGGAAATGAATGAGGAGAAATTATTCTGTGCAGACGCCGAACGTCATCCAGAGACCAACTAATATGCATCATGTCACCCTTCGTTCGGTACCGTGACTCGGTACCGCTGACGTGGCTGCACCTGATTCGCCTCTGAATGTAGAGCTGTGTTTGGCATCCGCACAGAATAATATCTCATGATTGAGATAGGCTAAATCTATTCCATTGCCCTTACTTTTCAAGATGCTGTAGATCTGAGCAGAGCCACCATCCATTGATTTTCCTTTTAATAAGAGTCAAAAATAGGTTGTTGCCACTTCATCACCGTGTACTCTTAGAACTCCTTGGCTTCATTTAGGACAATTTTCTTACTGCCTTCTAAAATAGTTCTTAGCACAGAATTTTCAAATTCAAGAATTTTTTTTCCTAAAAAATAGCTTTAGAAAACAATAAAATAGCTGCCTCAAATGAAACCTAAGTTTGCATATGCAAAATTCATATTATCATCAGATTCTAGCATGTAAGAATAAATTAGGTCCAAACCTCTCCAATCAAAGGTCTTAGATTCAAAAACAACATAAGCTAGGGTTGTTCAACTAAAAGTAATATTTTGAGTTAGGGTTGCTATAGTGGTTCTACATCTATAACAAATTTTAGATATGAATGAGCTAAAGTCTCTCCACATATAAACTCACTTAGGAATAAAATATAGGTTAAAATTGTTCCATTACTTTTGACTTTTTAAATGAAATAGAGCCTTAAAACAAACACATTCTAATGCCTTTGATGTTGAAAAGATGGAAGGGTGAGGCCTTAATAGACCCTTTTGGAGTTTGGTATGATATTCAAGATTGTAGCTTTATAGATTTTTCTTAGATCTTTTTTTACTATTTAGTTTATTAAAGCATTGTTTTAGATTGTCTCCATCCAAATAGAATAATTCATAGCTTTCACGTGGTTTAATGGTTAGCAAAAGAGTAGTCCCAAATGAACCAAATCCAATCCCAAATTTCATTCATTTCCTCAGCTGGTACCATTTGAAAAGCAGCTCTACCAAGAAATCACAAGTACAATGCGAGCAAGTTATTCTTTATGAGAACTTTCAGGAGAAAATCAAAGGGAAGAACAACAGAAATAGAAGCATGCAGAACCGCAAATTTAGTTCATATAGAGAGTTCAAGCAGAGGCCTTAAACTTCTTTGCAATGCCGGCAAAATACTGACCCTGATGAAATGCAAGCTGCAGTTCAAGCTCAGAAGGCTGCCTCGATCCATCCCCAGCTAAAGTTCCAGCACCATAAGGAGAGCCACCTCTCACCTTCTCCAACTCAAACATTCCAGCTCCTCCAGTATAGCCAACTGGCACAAAGATCATTCCATGGTGAACCAGCTGAGTTATAGCGGTCAAGCTGAAAACAGACAAAAAAGCAGCAGTCAATGACACCTGAACTTTCATAGTGATTGTAAAAAAAGGTTTCAGAAATTGGAGAAATTATTCTGTGCGGAGTCCGGATGGTAAAAGACCGTTTGGATGTGAGTGTACACAGTGTGCATACTGTGTACACTCACATCCGGACAGTTCTTTATCGTTCGAACTCCGCACGGAACAATTTCTCTAGAAATTGGCAAGATCAGGTGTGAACGGATCCCTGGTCCGATGGTTGAAGTGGAAAATTGTTCTCCAAGATCATAAATTTGAGATGCATATTTTGTCAATTATAAAATTGGCAAGATATCATGATATCGTTAACAGTTTTGCTCAATCAAAAATGCTTACGCAGTAGTCTCTTGGCCACCCCCCTGAGAACCAGTGCTGAAAAAGATACCAGCAGGCTTGCCTGCAAGCTGTTGAGTTCTCCACAGGCCACCAGTGGAATCAAAGAACGCTTTGAATTGTGCAGCCATCATTCCGAATCTAGTGGGGAAACCAAAGATAAACCCATCAGCTTCAGGAAGTTCGCTGGCTGTGATGACTGGCACATCACTCTTGGGAGGTGCACCTAACTTGCCAAGCACTTCTGCTGGGAGCGTTTCTGGAACCTATCAAAGAAGTAATTGTAAATCTGGGCCACATTTGATCAAATGGACAAAGAAATATCGGTAATATATATCAAATACAGTTCACAATTTAGAATGTTTGTTTGCTAATTCCGTCAATATTAAGGGCGTCCATCTCGTTCAAGTTTTGTGAATAATTTGTGTTTCACTTGTTAAACAGCTCGCATTTGGCTAGCTTCTTAACTAAGGAGACAATATGAATACAATATTTTTACTCAATTCGTTAATTAATTGAAAACATATAAAGGTTTCATATTCATGAGCAGACCCTTAAAAGCTCTTTAATATGTACATATAGAAGTCAAATAACAACAAATTAAACATATAAAGAAAATAATAAAACATTAAGAAATAAAAAAAAATTAACACTGAAATATTTTATGAACTGAACTTCATTTGTTTATTTGTAGCTCATAAACACCCCTAATCAATGCGTAGTACTGAAAAGCTAGAAACAAAATCAATTTCTTTCTCAAAATAAAAGATTTTAAAAAAATAGACTCCTTTCTTCAATGAGATATTCAAGGCTTCCAATTCATTATATATTTGGAAGTTACAGCTAAGCATAAAATTCTTTTTTTTTTTAGTGAACAGTAAAGAATATCAGGACAGAGGAAGCGGTAAATATACAAAAAGACAGAGATACAATTCAACTGAGCATTCCAAAAAAAATAAAATTCACAAAGCCCATTCTTGCTTAGTCCGTCATCTAAGCCAGTTCTTTTCATCATCTTTTTTAATTGCTCGAACTTTAATTTCTACAAAATATAATAATTAAAATTTGTAAAAGATGTGGATTGATTATGATAAAATTTTGCTCCATTTTGATTTTACTATGCCAAAAAGTATTTTATTTTATATATATTTATTTAATATAATACTAATACAAACCAATTACTGTTCCATTTGTTTGGTGTTTTATACAGCTCATCCAAGGTTCAATGCCTCCCTCCAACATTCTATTTTTACTATTTTGAATAACTTTAAATTGTTTTTAAGCCCGTTTAAATTGAGCATTTCGAGTTGAGTTCAAATTGAGCTAAGCTAAGTTAATTTGAATTCGATTCAAGTGCAACTCACTTGAATTCAACTCATTATCATCCTTAGTTAAGTTGAATTTAATTGAAGTTGGAGGAGCACTCCTCTTTTAATTTAGCACAAAGTGTTTTGTAGGTCTTACCAATCAAGATGGATGACCAACTTAACCACGAATCGACTCAATAAAAGTAAATCATATAACTTGAAATTCAATTATTTTTTTCATGATAAAAAAACCGATATTAAGTGGTAAAATTCTCCAAAATCAAAATCAGACAAATTGGGCTGCTGGAGTCTGGATTGTATCAACGGAAAAGGGGTAGAAATTCACATCATAAAATAAAACCAAACCAATACCTTAAAATCAACCAAAAACCCACCAAATATTTCGATAAAAACACTAACAGATCCTCAAAACAGAATATCCCCAAGTCTGGCAAGCAAACTTACAAGTAAATCTTAGTCCAATCGACCCAAAAAGCACAAACCACAAATATTTCCTCTGTTTGAGTTATTAGTAAAACAATACCATGGCATACAATAAAGTACTGACCTGCCACAGCTTAGCTTCCACACCTTCAACTGAAGAGGCACCCTTCAATATCTCGTGAGCAAGTTTCTCAACATGCCCATAAGTTGAGTAATACCTAATTAAAACTTTAGACATTTAATTCAAATGATAAATAATAATTTAGAGCATGAAAAAATTTAGGAAGCATTTTATGGCTTTAAGTGATTGTTCGAATGCTATCACAAAAATTTCATAAGATCTCTGAAATTGAGGGGCGATATCCCAATATGATTAAAAAAGCTTTTTTGCACTGGATTGAATTTTCGGACTATAGAAAGAGTTAAATCTTTTGTCAAAATTATAGCAGATTGTATTGCAATTTGCAAAGAAAGCACATGTTGCTTAAAGTTTATTCTGCGATGACAAGTGAGGGTAACTGAAAGCATTCGTCGGTGCAAAAGAATTGATTGCAAAATGAAGGCAGATGGAAGGAGGGTCAGTAACAAGGTAATAGAGCATGGTATATCCGTTCAGGCAATTCCACAAACAGCTGATGCGCAAGATCTACTGATTCGTACAAACCACAGTTTAACCTGATAAGTGATCTAAAAAATAAAAAAAATAACAATTGATAAAGTTTTCTTCCCAACTAATCTTTCATCAAATCTTACAGATGGATCTCCCTCAAATAAACAAAAGCACGCGGAGAAAAAAGGAATGAGAATATTGGAAAGAAAAGAGATCAACAATAGTCAACGCTTACACAATGTAAACCTTCGTCGCCATTTATGGAGGTCAAGGGAGCTCTGCAGCCAAACTCAGATTTTTAGAGAGAGAAGAAGACGGAGCTTCTTGTTGCAGCTGGGATCAAATGGATCACAGTTCTACAATTAATAGAAAGATCCGGAAAGAAAGAGCTCGAGGTTGCCAGCATTTTCGCGACTTTTTCAATTAGTTAACGTTGACGCGATGCCCAATTTTTTAATCTCAAATAATTGAAGGCGATCGCGAGATTTCTGGCTTCGGCCATGGAGTTGAGGTCGCCGCCCGCAACAGCAGAGAAGGTGAAGGTGCTAATGGGCCGGTCAGGGCTGGCCCGAACGAACACCCGGATAATAGACCCGAACGGGCATAAGAACAAATGCACCCTACCAACAATTTAATATTTATTTATATAATACTTCATTTATTATTTATAAAGTTGAACATATTTCAATAAACTGCTAAAAACTTATAATATCAACAAATAAATTTGAACACTAATTCCTTTATTTATTTAAGTTCATAAATATGTTTATTTATAATTTAATAAATAATTTATTAATAATACTCATTTAATAATGATTTATTTTTTATTTGATTATTATTATATGACATTATATTAATTTTTTTTATGATTTCTATATTTTTTATCGAGAGGCGCTGAAAGGCAAAGTGGTGCATCATGGATTTGTTTTGTTTGAGATTATTTTTTTGTTGTTTGATAGAATTATTGTAGATAATATAATTTTTTAAAATTGCAATAAAAAATAACTTTTTTGTATAATTTTTTTTTGAAAGTACTAAAAAAATAGTAATGAAATAAAAATAATAATTATTGTTGCGTGCTAGAATATACGCGGCGGTAGAGTTTGTAAATTCGTCTTAGCGTTGCACGAGTACTCAGCACACAAACCGAAAAGAGAAATGAACACCAGAGTTTTTACGTGGAAAACCCAAAAAGGGAAAAAATCACGAGGCCTCGCCCAGTTGTAAAATTCCACTAGTGTTTCTGTAAATTACAAGAAACTGATTCGTCCCACAAATCGGGACGATCAGATTACAACTTGAAGCAAATTTACAAAGTTCTACAAATTCCCTGTGTTTCCCGAAAATCCAGCAGAGTTTCGGCGTCTTCAGGCGGCGGGAAGAGCTCCGGCGGTGGTCGAGGAGGAGCTTCTTCCTTCTCCTCCTTCTCTTCTTCTTCTCTCTCTTCACTTGAGTCCCCCTTGTGAAGAATGAGGGCTCTATTTATACTTTTTCTGGAGTGGCATAGTTCGTAAATATGGGTGAGATCATGAGCAAATAGGGAGTGGTTTGAATGGACAGCCGATATTGAACCCTTCAATCGTGCACCATTCATTGGACATTTGAAGATCTTAATAATGTCGGAATTCAGCGATCTTGGGCTCGTTGAATTCGTCTCGTCGATCCGCTCGAATCGAGTATAAGCTCGTTAAAATCGGAGACCGTTTGGTAACTCAAATTGCGGTTTGAACCTTCCTACAGCGCTTCGGGTCCTTGATTCAGACTCATTTGGGCTCGGTTTGGTTTGATCTTGGTGTCGTTGGGTTCGTATTTCCGAGACGCTCAGTTTGACTATAAGCTGGCTGAAATCGGAGTTCGGGTGCTCCCGAAATTAATTTTTTAAGTTTCCAACTAGCTTTTGCCTCGAGATTCGTGCCCTATCAAGCTAATTTTGTGATGCCGTATCAATTACAATCTGAAAAACAACACAATAAAAAGATATTTGGTGAAAGCATCTTGTTGATCAAAACCAACTTATCAATGTCATAGCGGTCTTGTGTTTCGCTCCCCAATCGTTTGGTCAAAGCATCAACAATTTCGCTGTTGGTGGTCAAGATATGAGATGTTTGAGTTGAAACTCGTTGAGTTTTCTCACGAATGGAGTGACAGTCCATTTCAATATGTTTGGGGCGCAAATGAAAAACATGATTAACGTCAATGTGAATAATCACGAGGTTATTGCAACGCATGATGGCTAGATTCTAAGGGAAAATGCCAAAGTTGGTTAACAAGTAATTTAGCCATCATATCTCACTTGCCATTTGGGCTATGACTCAACACTCTACTTTGACAGACAAACAAGATATGATATCATATTGTTTCTTCATTTTCCATGATAAAACTGAAATAGCCAATTGTTAGATGTCAAGTGATGGGGGCATTTGATCAAATCAGAATTAATGTATGAAATTAAGGCTTCATTTGGGACGGCTTTTTTACTGCTTCTTGAAGCTGCTTTCTAGTACAAAAAATTAATTTTTGTACTAGAAAGCAGCTTCAAGAAGCAGTAAAAAAACCGTCCCAAACGAAACCTAAATAGAAATGCCTTGAAGCTTCAAGCAGAATTCCTTTGTTGGGGTGGCCTTTCAAATATCTTAATATGCATAGAGCAACATCAAGATGAGTTTTGTGTGAAGCTTTTATAGGAATTGACTGAGAGGCAAACATAATATCCAGTTAATAATATTAGATATTGGTCTAATTTTAGATTAGGTTATGCCTATAAATATGTTTATGTGTTGTAATTAAGGGTGCCCCAAGATGAATGAATGAAGCTCTCTCTCTCTCTCTCTCTCTCTCTCTCTCTCTCTCTCTCTCTTCCAAGAAGCTCAATAAGAGCTCTTACTCCAAGAAATTCATAACAAGTAACAGTTAGATATACAACAACTCCCCTACAAGACATTAGTGGACAATGTAATCTTTACAAAACTCCGACTTTTCATATCCAAATTTTGTGTTTTGTTCCATTAATATTTTTTGTTAGTTGACAACCTAACATCTCCATGTCGTAAAAAATGTCTAGCAATACTTTCACAAGCATAAAAAGACTTCTTGAGATGAACGTGCAACCTCGATCCCAAGAAAATGAATGGGTCAGCCCATATCCTTTATGTCGAAGGATTTATTTTAAAGATATTATTTCTCTTATATATTCCCCTACTAATAGAACGTCATCAACATATATTAAAACTAAGATGAACCCTTTGTCGTTCTTTTTTGAGGAGATTGTATTCAACATTTAATTGATTAATATCACAAACTAGTTTTGACTAGCTTGTTTGAGCCAACATACATAATTTTTATTATCCTTGATTGTTCAGATCCTTGAGGTATTTGCATATTGGCTTCTTCACCTAATATTCCAAGGACTAAATTGTTGATAAAATTGCGAATAAAAAAACCTTGAATTTTATATAGTGCATCTTATCAATGGATAATATTTTAAGGAAAAGGCCATTTCTTTAAAATCTGGCTTTCTATTTTGTACCAATTGGCCTTTATTACATAACATATAACATTTTAGAATTATAAAATTGTTACAAATGCTAATAAAAAAATATATCTACTGTTAAATTTTCTATGAGGAGAAATAATCTTCTCAATTAACTTTATTGTACCTTGATAATTATTAAAATATCAATATCTCATTTTGAAAAATATATATATATATACTCATATTAATTTTTTAAATTTTTACTTTTGTTTCATCACAAATTTATAATTAATTTTATAAATAAATAGTGACCCCAAATTTATAGTCTTGTAAAGGAGTTCATATAATATTATTTATTTGGAATGACCTAAGTTTTTGAGTTTAAGATCTGTTAATAAAATTATTTATAATAGTTTTTAAGTCGTCGATTATTTGTTAATTTTTTTCATTTGTCCTTTCCCAAACACCAATATTTGTCCACAAACTTTGTACTCGGAACCCATATGATTATTCGGGTATGGGCGGGTCATGGACCCGTGCTTGTTCAACAATGATTGTAGACAAAGTGTAAAACAAATTTAATGAGCGGAAGAGTAAGGGGCTGTTTGGTATTGGATTTAAAGCGGGATTTATGCTAAATCCAGCCTAACGGTTTTTTGAGATTGCGTAATTTGAGGCCTGTGTAAATCGAACAATTATTACGTCCTCTGACATGACGTAGAGGTACGTTCGGTCGCCAATAATATGTCGCCACGTGCTCTTACTCTTTACCGCACGGCCCGACGACTTGACCCGGAGCGGAACCCGGGAATGCTATGTTCGCGATTTTCTCGGTATTTGCTCGGTATTGCTTTGCAAAAAAAAAGAAATACCGCTCTGTCAAGGCCAAAACTATACAAATACCGAGTTGTACCGAGCTTTTCTACAACTCGGTACAACTAGGTACAACTCGGTATTTGCTCAGGATTTGCTCGGTATTGCTAGGGATTTGCTCGGTATTGCTAGAAAAAACTCGGTACAACTCAGTATTTGCTAAGGATTTGCTCGGTATTGCTAAGGATTTGCTCGGTATTGCTAGGTATTTGCTCGGTATTGCTAGAAAAAACTCGGTACAACTCAGTATTTGCTCAGAATTTGCTCGGTATTGCTAAGGATTTACTCGGTATTTGCTAGGGATTTTATCGGTATTGCTCAGGATTTGCTCGGTATTGCCGAAATCTTCGCCTGCGTCCCGAACGCCATGTAGATGACTGATCCATCGGGTTGCAGGTCGAGCCACCGAATGCACTCCGACTCGGAGCTGGGCTTCTCCACCGGTTCGGTTTCGATGAGGAGGTTTAGCGGGCGGATCGACCGAGTTGATCACGGCTTCTGGTAAGTCGGCTAAGGTGAGCTGGAGCTCCGGTGGTGCTCCCGCGACCGAAAAGGGCTCGTCTTTGGGAATATTGTTCCAGAGTGACTTGGTGAGCGACATGGAGAAGGTGGACATGCCGTGGAAGACTAGGCGGGGGAGGCCGAAGCAGCGACAGATGGAGAGAGTCCAGCCTAAGAAGAAGTCGGAGATGAGGCAGAGGGGATGGGATGGGGAGCTGAGGAGGCTGCGGACAAGGCGGAGGAAGGGGTCATGGAGGGAGGATTTAAAAAAACGCACGTGCTAGAACCCAAAAAACAGTGGGTCGGGTCGGCAACTTTTCTTCATGCTACATGTCACTAAAATATTGGTGGCCGAACGTAGAGGAGCGTACATTCACCGGACCAAATAAAAGTTCGTGTAAATCCGGATTTAAAGATTTACTGCGTAAATCCGCCTAAATCTAAATCCTGTCATTCGACGGATTTAACATGATTTTGGCCCAAGAAGTGCGTGAAAGTAAGAAAGATGCCTACCTTGTCAACGAGCATGAGCAAACTCTTGTAGTCATGGTTACTTCCGATCCAACAGAGAATGAACAAGGCGTGATTTCAGATCAAATATGAAGGGAATGTCGTCCAAGGAGCAAAGTCGAACAACAACCAAAGAGCCAAAGAAGTGATTGATTATTATTTAAATCACAATACAAAAAATCACTGTAAATGATAATAAAAAAATCAAAATTTATACCAATGTAAAAGGTTTATATATATATATATATATTGAGA